TAGCAAGTTACACTGCTTTCCATAAAATTGTTTACATTGTAGAGGGGGCGGGAAAGGGGGTCATTGAGAATCAGAAAAAAGAAGTGAGGACATCTCAAGTATCAGTGAATTTATTGTGCAAAAATCCAAAGTGTTTGGGAATATATTTTTTTTTTGTCAAAGGCATAACCAAAGCATTTCAATGGAAGCCACTAGCAAACTTACTTGAGAAATGTTGTTAAATAAATATAATGGATATTATACATACAATATTTCTTGCAATATTAAAAAGTATATAATCTTTCAAGGACTTCCCCTTTTCTTTTGCAAGCATGCAAGTCCTTGTTTGCTTCTGTTAAAAATGAAAGTGTCTAAGTTTTATACAGTACAGAACTGGTTTTCTTCATAGTTAACACTTGTTTGTTTCATCATAAGATGTGCACATTCTATCTGGTCCTTATTACCTTCTTATTAAAAACATTGTTAAAGGCCAATGAATTTTTAAAAATAGTTTTGTGGTTTCCAGTGAGTTTGGACCACCATAGCAAATACCACCTCAATGAAAAATTAATGCTTGGAACAAAATGGAAGAAAACAACGCTGTTAAAAGAAATTGGTCAATATACATCATGGTTTTAAAATAGTTGGACTAAGCTTTCTGGAAGCAAAGGTAAGCCTATTTATAGAGAACCGTCTTACATGCTCCAATTAGAAACAACCCAGGGAGATCCTACAAGTTGAATAAAGTCCCAATCAGAATGTCCTAATGCAAAGTTTTAGATGACAGAAGATGATATCCATTATGTTCTATGGGAGTATGAAGTCTTAGATGTGGTTTGAGGGGACTAGGCCATTACCCTAGTACTATAGTCCAAAATGTCATTGAGCGTTTTCTAGCATATGTGTGCACATACTAAACTTTTACTGCATAATCGATTCTGCATAAAATTGGAAGGTTTGGGAAGTGAAGACTATTATTTTCCAAGCCTAGGAAAATGTATCACTTTTTGATCGCTTCTTCTAGGATTCTACGAGTTAACCCAAGAAGAGGTGCTATATACATATACATATACATATACATATACATATACATATATATATGTAGGTCTTTGGTTGTTCGGGTTTTCTCCCGCGTAAAATTGGAAGTGTCTTGGCGATGTTTCGACGAAGTCCCATTCGTCATCTTCAGGCTGGTGTTTTCAGCTTCGTGCTTCGTGCTCCTCGAAGCACGAAGCTGAAAACACCAGCCTGAAGATGACGAATGGGACTTCGTCGAAACGTCGCCAAGACACTTCCAATTTTACGCGGGAGAAAACCCGAACAACCAAAGACCTACATACAAACACCCGCGAAAACCTCAGAACATATATATATATATATATATATATATATATATATATATATATATATATTTCAATATTCTGCTGGCTGCTAAGTAAGTCTGAAAAGGGCTATTCGTTTTTACGACAGAATGGAAATAGATGTGGACTCACTAAAACCCATTCAGGGATAGCAGTAAATCTCTTGCATGAGAAAACAGGAAACTGCCATACATCAAGTTAAGACTAGCCTAACATTGGTAGTCTTCCCTAATAAGAGATTGAATCCCATATGCAAAGCATTTGTCTTACCACTGAGTTGCAGTTACCTCTGACTATAATGTTTTATTAACACTTATTTGAACACATTGGACCTTAATTAACAATTGTATAATATGGCACTTATTTCCCTGGCTTCATCCAGCCCCCTCTCTCATTAGAATGCATCCTTACATATTTCTTCCTTTGCTGAAACAGCTAAATTACCTGTTGGCTGTCCTAAAGTGTCTGCAATGTGCAATCAACTGCAACTACCTGATCTCTTCTTCCTTACACACCTGCACAAGAAATCATCCTTGCATTTGCAAATGCAGCTACTGCAGGACCATCTGAAGTGCTTTTTCTTTCTGGAAGCATCCTGGATTATTGGGGCATCCTCGGTACCAGCACCAGCCCAGCTAATGATGCTGAATGTCCCACTCTTCCTATTTTAACACTTGATTGTGCCCTAAGCCAAGGAATGTACAGGAAGATGTATAGACTGATTCTTTAGCTGGGATGAAGCCCCTTGTCAAAAGGAAAAATGATGAGAGAACTTGCACAGCAGAGAATGAAATGGTTCCTATCTGGAGTCTGAAGGTGCCATTATCTAATTTACTGCTAGGAATAGCAGCAGGGTCAAATGACCCCATAACTAAATCTATCCATCACTGTCACTGCACAGCCAGCACTTCTGCTCTACACAATCACCCCTCTTTGTTCCAAATGGCTCTTTCTGTCTTGTGCAAAGGCTTCTCTGGTGTTGCTTGGCCGGGAGCAATAGGTCAAAGTGCCAAAGCGATGACAGGATTGACAGAACTTCCCCACTAGCCACCGAATGGACCATATTGCACACAAGTCCCATTAACACACCATATTCACTGTCTGGTAGAGTTGGATTTAACAAGCAGATCAATCCGATCCCCAAGACTCTAGTTTTTCTTCTTTGCTATGGTTTTCTAGTAACAGCCAACAGTCTGTGAAACAGGCAGTTGTAAACAGAACCACAGGATGTACTTAGTCAAAGAGAGGGTTTTACCACTGCATTTTTCCTATGTGTCAGAAGACTTCATCCACACTGTTACATCATACGTTTCTCTGCAATGCCTTACAAGAAAGCCAAGTTCAAAGTCATACCAAATAGGGGAGTTTTCAGAGATAATTGGTTGAATTTAGCTATTCCTCTGCTCAACATGGAGCTTGTTAGCATTCACTAAATATTTCCAAATGTGTGTGGTTGCCCTGCTAGCTATGTATTTACCACACACTTAAAATTGAGAAGAAAATGTCCTCAATGTAGGAAATGCACTCATTCGAACATATTTACAAGTAGTTAATATGGAGCAGTTTTGCATGGCCTGGAAGCATTCCAAAATCACCTCTCCTTCCAGAAAGTAACATTTAGTACCTCACTTCTTCACTGTTTGTGGCATTTGGCACAGGAAAAAGATTGATACCTGGCAGCTTCGGCGTACCTGAGACAGGAAAATGAAAAGGAATGAGAGCGCTGCTTGGATGGAGACAGATTTAGCTCCACAATAGGCAAGTGTTGAATAATTCAGCTTCTACTGCTGTGACATGGCAATAGGGAGCAGCCAGAGCAGCAGTAAATGCGATTCTGCCCAAGAGCAAAGTTTCTTGGCTTCCACATCAGCTCATTCTGGCTCTTTTCCTTGAATTTTGGTCGAAATGTCTCCTTCCTCATCAGTGGGGAACTGGCAAAATGAAATGGCCTTGGCAGCGCTTAACACAATTCCTCATCCAAAGAAATAATGACTTGATTTTTCATTAGATTCTATTACCTTGGTACATATTCTCCTTTCCTGACATCCTGACTTAGTGTATCAAGAGGCAACTTCTTGGATCATAAGTACAGCTGCTGGCTGTAAATTTGGGGAGCAGTAATCCCAAGATACCTTGAGGATTCTATCATTGCCATCCCATGAAGGAGATTAAAAGGAAAGGAAGTGCAAAAGTAGGCTTAACTCCCCCAGTGAGCAGATCATTAACAATGCTATGTGAAAATACACATTTCTTAGCCGCACAGAAACAGCTGTCCTGAATAATTGGTCCTCCTCATCATCTAGGATTGATCTTGTAATATTAAAATGCACGGAGCATAGCAAAACCATTTCTAAGCCCTACATTAATAAAAAAATATTCAAATTAATCTAATTATACCTAAGATGAATACAAGTCTTAATGTACTTCTTAGTATATTTATAGTTAATTTGGGAGATCATTAGGAAGTTTAGAACTTTGGCAGGATAACAGGAGAAGTGCAATTACTGGCTATTATGAGCCTTGTAAACTTATTTATTAGATTTGACTTTTTACTATTATTCATTAAAAGAAACCAGGATGGAACGTTTCATTTTAAGTCACTTTTTTTTCTCAATCATGAAACTTGTTTTTCACTTAAAATTGAAAATGGAAATGTTATTTCTCATGCCCGTTTCTTGAATTGTATAACAAGCTGAGTGATATAGCTGTACAGACTTTGAATATTTTGTTATATTATTTTCATCTCATGTCCCCAATTTTTTCCTGTCCACTAGTACAGAGGTCCCCAACCTTTTGGGCACCAGGGACCAGTGCCATGGAGAAAGGTTTTTCCACTGACCAGAGGGGATGTGGTTTTGAATACTGCCTGCATCTCAAGGATGGAGCTTTGCTTGTTTGTGCGGTCCACTTGTTGGCATGCTGTGGACCAGTGCCATTCCATGGACCAGGGGTTGGGGACCCCTGTACTAGTATGTATAACCTTCCTTTTCAACAGTAAAGTAGGACAATACAGAACTTTTTAAATGTTTCTAGAAGTATCTGTCACAGGAGAATATTCATAATAGCCACTTATGAAGTGATGATACTTCAGGAAGTTTAAAACGGCAGGAATTCATAGGCATCTGCTGTACATTTGGGTACATACATAACAAAGACATATACCATCGAGCATAACTCCCAACAATGCACTTGTGTCAATCAAGATACATAGAGAGAGCTTTTGCATCATATCACTGCTTACATGAGGTCATTCTGGTACAATCAAGGCTTGTTGCTAATGCCACAGAGCAGGATGGAGATAATCTGGTAATCAGAGGTGTTTGAGGGAGATGAGAAGGCAAACCTAAGTGGAACTATTTATCCCAACATTTAATGTAAGGATACACAGGTAAAGTTTGCATCATAATATCATTTGTGTGATGTCATTTTGTGGTAATTTTGATTTGCTGCAGATATCTATGTTGGTGACTCTTTTCTTAGCCATTGTTATTACACACACATGCAGACAATGTTTACCAGATCATGGACAATTGGTTCTATATACGGTAACTGCAGCAAGGCTGTTATATGCGCAAAGATGGAAGACCTCGTAAACATATTGACTTGTTTAATTAAGAACGGAACTACAATTACTGGAAAAAGATTGACACCATTTGTAGATTTTTTTTAATTGAAAATGGAAAAAATATACTCCTGATTTTTTGAGATTTATTGATTAAAAAGGTTTGTTTATAGGAAGAACTCTGGTATGCAAAATGGGAGGGTGCAGTTGTTTGTAATTGTTGTGAAGAAGATTGGAAGTTGCTTCTTTAGATTACTTTTTCTTGATTTTTTGTTATTTTTAGTTTTTCTTTTACCCCTTTATAATCTTTCCTTTTTCTATTTCCTCTATGTTTTTGTAGTTTTTTAAATCTTTGTAAAATCTTCTTTGAATAAAAATTATTCATAATATATCTACCGCAAGACACAAAGATGATAAGAAGAGGATCCTCATTCTTAGAACCTTTATTCTGAGGAGTAAAGACAGAGGAGAAGCCTACTATTTCCTTTGCAAATCAAAAACGAAACATAAAGAAACAAAGAAATTTAGTAGTCTAAATTATATGATTTTCTGCAGCATATGAGAATGAGCATTGTTCTCAAAGCTGTATAGCAAGAACTGAGATTACACAGAAATCAAACTCCTGTCTTATTTTAAATTAAACTTCAGTCTTCAGGTTCTTGAAAATGCAGGTTGCAAATCCCCTTAAGACATATTGCCTTGTCCACAAATAATAAATACATTTCAGAACATGTGCATATTCCTGGGATATGAAAGAGGATGCTATTAAAACAGGAGAGAGGCAAGCTAAATTGACCACAGGCCAGGTTATACTGAAGGTGATTTTATTAAGATCCACCCTGCCAATGTTGGCCTCTTTCTTCTCAAATCTATTGCAATGTGAGGACTACCAGGGATAGTAACTTAGGGCAGCAACATGCGGCGTAGCTCCTGGCTGGAGGTGACAGGTAGTGAGCAGGTAAAGTTTTCACAGACATAAGCAGTAGCTTTTCCATCTTTCTTTTCCAGAGAGGAGAGGAAACCAAGCTGACGGTAGAGGAATCCTGTTGTATCACCATCAGCAAGAATCAGCACCTGAAACAAATTTATCACAAAGCTTAGCAAAGTAAATAAGATCAGGGACTAAGTCCATGGTTATAATACAATTTGCTCCTCCCCCAAGCACTATGGATTTGATTAACATGGAGAAAACCTTATAAAACCTTAAAAATGTGCTGATGTTTCATATCCCCAAACACACGGAGCACCTGTTGTTTTTATGAACCATCCTACCACCTACAATTACATTGACCCTAACCCTGATCCTGCTGGTCTTCCGACAAATGCTCAAAACCTGGTTGTTCTCCCATAATTCTTCTCTACTCCTCTCTTTTTCCTGGCACCTTTGTAATAACACATCTCTCGCATCACTCACTGTACTCTTCATACCATCAGTTAACTCTTCAGACTAAGATTCTATATAGCCCTGTTAAAGCAATCTTTTCCTATAATAAAGCAACAGAATAAAAAAGTAATTTAATATAGCAATATATTATCCAATAATGTTTCTTTCATATTTATTCAAAAGTAAATCCAGTTTAATGGGGTGGAAAGCTGATCTGCAACTTCAGTTAGAAGTTTCTTGTTGCAACCACTAATAATACCCTATTCATGGCATCAGCTGCCAAAATAGGGTTTTTCTTCACTGTTTCTTTTAATTGCAGTGTTTACCTATGTCATCATTAAAAAAGAAAGTACATTGATAATTTAAGTCCACCATTCCCTGCAGAAAACAGCAATTGACAACGAGGCACTTAATTAGCATGGCTGTACTAGATGCTCAAAAGAAAGATATTAATGATAGAAACTACAAGGAGAAAGCTTCTAATCAAAGATTTAGCACTTCTAAAATGACTCAGTAATACTTTAGCTGCATGTATTGTGATTGAATTTTACACTGAAAAATATACTACAAGTACATTCTCCTCTCCCCCAAAAAAGTCAGGAGACCATAAAAAAAAGTAGGCAATTGGTTGGCAACAACATACAATAGCCTCCCCCCCAACCCCCCCCCCCCAGTATTTTTCAACTAAACAGCTTGTGATGGGATTGTTTGGGAGATAGGAATCAGTCTCACTATACATTTCAACTAGATACAGATCCTTTCCGGTGTATGTTTCAGATAAAGCACAAAGAGTTTTTGGAACAATCAGCAACTTCTTCCTCTGTTTTGTTTTCATTGCAAGAGAACATGCACTGAAAGTAATACGATGGTCCCTATCAGCATTCTGGACAGACTGAGGTAAGGCGTAACAACTTCATTTTAATAAGGGACAATGTACGTTTGCTGCCTCCCACTTCAAGTACTCAGGAACTGTAATGCTGTCCAACTGAATTGATAAACTTGATCTGTATAAGAAAGCTGGAGGGATAGGTTGTGATTCAAATTAACGAACAATAAATAAGAGCCTCTGAAACAATCAGGGAGCCCAGCTCTCTATACAAGTCCATATATTCTGATTGAGGAGATACTGTATATCACTATGACTTATTCAAGACAGTTTCTCTTTTCACAATTCCTGACACTTGTGATCAGGGATTCTGATCTGTGTTGCAGTTTGGTGAAGGGAGTTTGTGTTCCTGCTCCTACTTCCCTGCCGCCCTCTCCACTTCTATTCCATCTGTGCCACAACTAATCTGTAATCAATATAACCATACTGTTGCCACCCCCACTTGCCCAGAAGTCTTCAAAAACATTATTCTAATTAAAATTCAAACTGCATTAATCACTTTTACAGCATGCCAATTTCCTGTACGTAGGATCTGAAGCCTAAACTAGTGGTCTATCCCTGTGCTTCTGCCCTAAATATTGAATTGCTGCAAGATTATGCGAGCAGCTGAAGATTAAGCTAAAGATAAAATAAAATGAAAAGATAAATACTATACTTATGGGACTTTTCTATGTCGAAAGCTGGCATAAGCAACAGAGTAAGTCTTCCTAGGAACATTCTCCGAAGGAATGGCCTGGCCATCAGATCTCTTCCAAACCAAGTCATTCCCACTGGAACGTTCCTTCCTTCCCTTCAATAATAAAAAGAAGCTGTACATGACAAACATAGTTTCCAGACAAAGAAATCAATTATATACGTAATATATTAGGCCTTTCTCACGAATGTTAACATTAATGGGCAGATTGGTGGCATTTGGGGAATTGTTAGGAAGGCTAGGAGGACTCTATTGTGGAACTGAAAAGAAACAAAACATCAAGAATACTTGTGTGGCTTTTCTCAGCCCATTCTCTGGAATATCTAGCTCATCCCACCCGAGCATTCACATATTTCAAAAAGGCATTTGTCTCCAGTCATATTGTTTTCATTTTGGAAGCCCATCAGAAAAGGCAAGAGTATCAATAATAATTAACGAAGATGGTTTACAGCTAATTAGATACCACTTATGTCCTCATCAAGTTGGGGTGTGTATTAATCATGGTTTTCTATACTAGGCTAGTACCGGTAGAGACAGGCCTCTCTTTTCCTTGCTCATCCCTTCAAGAAACAAGCAGAAACCAGTCTTGATGCCTTTGGCTATTCTGACATTTAAATTCAGAGCCTGGTTTTCTGTTTCCAAAGACGGGAAAGACCTCTCACTTCTACATAAATTCAATCTCTTTCCTAGTTAATCCACCAAAACGAAACTGTACAAAGAGAACAAAATGTGACAAATTCAACAAACTATTAAAGCCCAGAAGATGTTGTATTTAGAATAAGTCAGAAATGACAGCCTCCTAATAACTAAACAGCTCTGCTATGTAAACATATCCAGCACATTTTCCTATTTTAATTCTATTGATATGAGATCGGAATTGCCAATGTCAGCTTCAAACTTACTTCATACAGTTATCTTCTTCCCTAAATATTATTCATTCCCATAGACAAGTCATTTTTTTTTGTAAGTATCAGGAAATAAGTTCCCTATCCTGATTCGGTTCATCTTCAGAAGATATGACACAGAACAGAGGATTCTTTATTCTGAACTTGACAAGATAACATTCTGCAGAAAATTTGAATCTTGTTTCCCACCAGCAGTCTTTGGGGGTAGAAAGATGCCAGCTCAACTTTACCCAAACACACATGCAAGTATTTTACTGATCCATATAAGGGCAACCAGGGAAGTCATCCTTACAAGAAGGTCAAGGCATCCTCTGTGAGGTAAGTGGCCCTATCCTCATTATTTTAGAAATCTGCTCCTTTGCACTAGTAGAGGAATCAGCATTTCAAGCTGACCCTTTTTCCTGCTGATGTGAAGAGCACAGCCAAAAGCTATTTATTTTCTTGATAAGAAAATTCTAGTTAATAGCACAGTGTCTGAGTTCCACAGCCCCTGTACCAATTTCATATCAGATCTTTTGGCTTGCTTCCAGACAAAACAGGGCAGCTCATGGGAGTCCTAATCCTGCTTATTGTCCATTATGCTTGGCTTTTTAATGTCTTTTTTCTTAAGTACGTTACTTATATTCCCAGATGCTCAAAACCTGCACCCTTCTCCAGAGGGACATTTAAATTGTAAATGCCTCTATGTTTTCCTCTTTCCTTCTTTCCCATTCAACTTGCACTGTAATTGAACTATGCCTGACTGCTTCTCTAAATGCTATTTCTCTTATGCAGAGCTTAACCTTAGGGTGTGTCAGGCTACATTCTGACAAGAGCCTCCTTTTCTCCATTTTCTTATTCGACACACCTATGAAAAATGTCGCTCATCTTTCCCACCACAGTTCAAGTTGGGTCCTCTGGAATGCTTTCTTGGCCAGTTCAAAACTTGCAGCAGCTCCTACTATAGTGTCATTAGGTCATCCTTAATCATGTCTGAGAAATGAATGACTGCAGCACTAATTAGTTTTTACAATACAGAAATTATTATTAGCTCTCCTAGGTCCTGGAAGCTAATGGAAAGAGCACTGGCATGAAACTCATCAAGACTGGGTATTATCTACCTTCATTCAATGTCTAAAACAAAACTAACATTGTTGAAACAAAAGTACTGGAAAATATACCCAGCATCTTTGTTATTAAAGGGCTTCCTTCTTACATTGGCTAGTTTATAAACAGAAGAAAGACAGAAAGGATCACAAGTGATCAACCTTTTTTTTCTTTATTTAAATGTGTCTTTAAATGAGCAATGTACAAAGGCAGAGAAAATGTATTGGATCAAAAAAGCAAACGTAAATACCTCTTAATCCAGCCTTCTCCAACCGGGTTCATTCGGCATATTTTGGCTTCAACTATATGAATTGAAACTCAACCACACAAGTGGGAAAGAAAGAGTACTGCACTGTGTGTGAGAGCGCATGTATGTGCACTCCCATATACATATCCACACATATTGGGGTTTTTTTAAAAAAAATAATGCAACCAAAATCAACTCAGTAAACTAAAAAAACACAATGCAACGATCAAACTCAGAAATGTGTTTCTCGGGTGAATCTTCAGAATAAGAGGTTACTGGATCTAGAAGGCCATGAATTAAGGTTTGGTTGGCATGGTTTACTTGTGGTATGACAAAGTTAAAGTAAATGTTGATTTTAATAACCATTTTACTAGGCGTGCCATTTTGAGAGTTTGGAATAAATATAAAACAAGGTTCTCTATGGAGGTGCCATTTTGGGTTTCCCCACAAGAGGCCTTTTTTAAAAAAGAGATGGCGATGAGACCAAATTGGTGGACTTATGGTAAAATAATATCTCTTAATTTGGGTGAGCCTACCCTCAAATTTCAAGGAGGAGCTAGAATCAGAATGTTTGCCTTTGGTTTTCATATATGCAATTGAAAGGAAGATTTAAGTTAGATAAAAAGAATCATGAGTTTAATTTTGTTAAAAGTGAACTGGAAACCCTACTGTACCGTAGTGATGAACATATTATTGCTAAAATTTATAAAATGTTATTGAATTTAAATCTGGAATATGAACAAGTAAAACATTGTGTGATTCAATGGGCAAGGAATTTTGGGTACAATATAATGCTCTAACAATGGAAAAATATGTGGAATAAAGGATTAAAATTTACATTAAATTATAATTTAAAAGAAAATTTTTACAAG